ATGATACTGAGCTTCTCCATCACCCCTTTCCACAGATGTAGTCGATCTGATTCCTGTGCATTCCATTTGGTGAGGTCCACATCTACAGCCACCATATACGTTGTTGCAAAAAGGTATTTGCAATGCATAAGTTGTTGGTCTTGCAAAATTCAATTATGAGATCTCCAGAGTCATATCCATCACCAAGGCCGTATTTTCTACCTACTGATGATTCTTCTTTGTTTCCAACTTGTGCATTCTAATTACCAGTAATAATCAATACATCTTGATTGTATATTTCGTCAATTTCAGACTGCAGAAGTTGGTAAAAATCTTTAATTTCTTTATCTTTGGCTTCAGTGGTTGGTGGGTAAATTTGAATAATAGTCATATCAACTGGCCTTCCTTATAGGCGAATGGCTACTATCCTATCACGGGCAGCATTGTACTTCAGGACACATGTTGATACGTTCTTTGTGACAATGAACGTGATGCCATTCCTCTGTCATTCCCGGCACAGTACAGCATATGATTGTCTGACTCAGAATGGCCAAAGCCAGTCCATTCCACCTCACTAATATTTAGGATATCCATCCTTATGCATTCTATTTCATTTTGACAACTTCCAATTTTCCTAGATGCATACTCTGTACATTCCACGTTCCTATTATTAACGAGTATTTGTGCGCCTATGTCTTCACATGTTGAGTTGTGCCCCATCCGCAAATGATGATCCCATAAGCTTTACTCCATCCACATCATTAAAGTCAATTCTACTTTGAGGACCCAGCTCTTCCCCAGTTGTATTTTGAGTGCCTTCAACCTGAGGGGCTCACCTTCCAGTACTGTATCAGACAATGTTTCAGGGATATTCCGAAACTTTTCCAGACAGTATTTCACTGCTATTCATAAGGTTTTCAGTGACCGATTTTGTCAGAAGTGGGTGGCCCCTTCGTTCTTCCCAGTCTGTCTTACTCTGGAAGCTCTGCTAAAACCTGTCCACCATGGGTGACTCTGCTGGTATTTGAAGTACCAGTAGCACAGCCTCTAGCCTCACACCAATACACAGCCACCACAGTACGACAAGCTGACAGATAAGTGTAACATTTAGAGGACCACAAATACCAAATGAGTGGAAAGCAAACCAATCTAGTCAATGCTGTCAGTCACAGGAACAGACATGGATCAGCTACCCGTCCTGCTGGATCCCAGAAAAGAGCTTGTTCTCCATGTCCCCATAGCAGAAGCTACAGAGCAGAGTGGACAGGATGGAGCCCTGGGGGATCCCCTGGCACTGGACATAGTACCTAGAGACAGAGAAGAAATACAAAGAATCAGAAGGGTGGCAGAGCACAGTGGGCACACAGGCATGTACACACACACACACACACACACACACAGTCCTGGCCCATGTCAGGGCAGCACCCTGAGCCTGTGTTCCTGGGTCTGGGTGGGTGTATGGAGGCCGAGGGCTTTGCTGGAGTAGGACAGAGAGTAAAGGAATCCTGGGAAGCACTGAGGAGAACGAGATCCCTGGACAGTGCCAACAGTTAACATACTTGGCTGCTAAGTGGAAGGTCGGAGGTTCAAGCCCACCCAGCAGATCCACAGGGCAAACACCTGGTGACCTGCTGCTGTGAGAATCTCTGCTGCGGTGACCCAAGGGGCAGTGTTAGTCTGTAACACACGGAGTCGCTATGTCAAAGTCACCCCAACGGCACCTAACCACCACCGACGAGAAGGGAGCCCTGGCTGCTAACTGGAAGTTTTGGAGTTTCGAGTCCACCCAGAGTACTGCAGATGAAAGGCCTGGAAATCTACTTCCAAAAAATAGCCAGTGAAGCTGCTGTGGAGGACAAGTCTCCCCTCACACACCTGGGGTCGCCACGAATCAGGACTGACTCAGCCACTGCTTTGTGGGGTTTATTCAAAGGAGAAGATGGAACGTAAAACAGGAAAGAGCAGAGGCTGGCAGGGTAGGCGTGGCCAAGGGACAGAGTGCCCTAAGGCATGGCAATGCCACCCACTCACCTGCCCCCAATCTTTATGACACTGTTGTGCACGAAGCGGAGGAAGAAGTCAAAAAGGCTGCCAGCGGTCTCGTTTAAGGAGGAGCTCTGCAAAAGCAAAAAGGCTGCGAGCTGGTGAGCAGGGCTGGAGATGACAGCCCCCAGGGCTGCAGGGAGACTGGGCACAGGCTGCATGCCACCACCCACCCCTGCAGCTGTGGTTAGATAGGTCATGCCCCACCCGAGCCAGTGTTTTCACTGTAAATGAGAGGATGGGTGAGAATCCAGGGTCATGGGCTGGCAGGCCGGGATAGAACCTGTCTGCAGACAGACAGTTTGCACAGTTTATTCAATGCTGGGGACCTCTAGGTCACCCATGCTCTCCAGCTGGGTTTGGGCTCCTCACACCCTAGACTGCCCACACCACACTCCATGGTCTCACCTGGCTCCTGGAGCACTGGGTTCTAGGGCCCCTCCCATTCCAGGCCCTGGGCAGACAACAGGCAATCAGTGGACAAGCCTCCCAGCATCACTGAGTGGACAACATTGCCTCTTAACACTGGAATAACCAATGAACAAAGCTTCCACTAAAAGCCCGGGTGCTGCGAGTGAGCCCTCCACCCCTGACAGCCTCAGCTTCGGGGATCGCCTCTCTCCCAAGAGCACAGACAGATTTATGTTTGATGCCTCAGGTCCAGGTGACCTGTGGGAAAATCCCACTTGTGTGCCCGAAAGGAGGGACACGATTTTCTTTTGGCACGAAGATCAAAGCTGAGGGAGAGCTCCTCACCAGCAAATGATCAATGAGATAACCAGAGGTCAGCCAAGGTTTTGACTTGGCCGTAAAAAGAGAGGAAAAAAAAAAAAACCTCACTGCCATTGAGCCAGATTCGACTCACAGCGATGCCTCCTTGGGTTTCTGAGGCAGTATCACTATGGAAGTAGGTTGCCTAACCTGCCTTCCGAGGAGTGGCTGGTGGGTTTGAACCACCGGCCTTCTGGTTAGTGGTCAAATGCCTTAGGCACTATGCCACCAGAGCTCCTAAAAAATGAGGAAGGCTGCCCAAAAGCCAGAAGCATTATTTCCACCTGAAGTGGCTGCATTGAGTGGCTAGCGGAGAATTCCTCTCGCAAAGGAGAGCAGCATCTGTGACCATGACAGTACGGCCTGGTCCTCCTCCCTCCATGCAACAGTGCAGGAGAATCCATCCTAGGGCTACACCAGCCAACACCCACTCTCACGACATACACCAGCTCAGTGGAAAACCCACTCTGACCCCGCACCCAGCAAAGGCAGGGCCCTGGGGACCTGCTCGATGACAACAGCGTTCTTCAGTGAACCCGCCTCCTGCAAATGTTCCACGAACTGCTTCATGTAAGGCAGGAGGTCTGTGAAGGTGGAGACCTGAGAGCAAAGGAGAGAGAGAACTGAGCACAGGATGACTGCAGGAGCCAGCAGCTCCAGCCCTCGGCTCACACTCCTACGACCCAAAAGCAGAGGCTCAGACGGAACTGTGCACCAGGCACCTGCAGCCAAAAGGTGGAACAACCACCAAGACATCCCCAGCAGGTGAATGAATAGACCATACAGGGCACATCCGTGCAATAACATGTTACTCAGCCACAGAGAGACAGAAGTTCAAACACACGCTACAACATGGACGAACCTTGAAAACATGATGCTGAGTGAAGTCAGTCACATAAAACAACAAACACTGTATGATCCCACTGACATGAATTATCTAGAACAGGCAAATGCATACCAAAAAAACCCCAAATTTACTGCCGTCGAGTCATTTCTGACTCATACTGACCCCTCCTTGGGTTTCCAAGGCAGTATCTCTATGGAAGTAGATTGCCCAATCTCCCTTCCACAGAGACCAGTTTATTAGTGGTTACCAGGGGTGGGAAGGAGGGGACAGGAAGAGGGGCCACTGCTTAGGGATGAAGGAGCTGAACGGTGATGAGACGTGTGGAAACAGACCATGGTGATGTTGCACACCGTGGTGAATGTCATTAACGTTAATAAATTGTACACGTGCAGATGGCTGACATGGCAAATGTTTCGTTATACTGTGTGTATTTCACCAGTGACTGTGAATTCCTTCTATCTTCCCTTCATGAAAAAGACTTGGTGGATCGCGATGATGGTGATGGAGAAGAATATTGAATGTAACATGGATGTCAGAAGAAGGAACAAATCTTAGAAGTACAGCCAGATGCTCCTTAGAAGGGAGGATGGCAAGACTTGGTCTCACCTTGAACATGTTATTGGGAGGGGCCAGTCCCTGGAGACGAACATCACCGCTGGTAAAGGAGAGGGTCAGTAAACAAGAGGAAGACCCTCCATGAGACGGATGGACACAGTGGCTGATGATGGACTCAAAGAGAAATGACTGTGGGGATGGTGCAGGACTGAGCAGTGTTTTGTTCTGTTCACACAGGGCTGTTGAGTCAGAGCTGATTGGACGGCACTTAACCACAACAATATATTCTACCATAATTAGAAGAAAACCATAAGCCAAAACATAAGAAAGCAGAGAGGGGAGCATGAGGCATGGATGCCCTCTGTCCCAGAGCCTGGACACTCATCGGGCCTTCTGACCATGGACACCAAGTGAACCATCTCGCAGCAGAAGACTGAGTCAGACCAATGACATGAGCCTGGGAGAAGCCCTGCTGTGCAGCTTCTGTTTAGGAAAAGGGGGTAAAAGCCTTCAGAGAACCAGTGCTACAAACACAGGGTCCTAGTCAACCCGGGTGGAGTCACCTACCATCAGACCCCTGCTACTGTTTCAGGCTCCATCACGTTGGCTCCAACTCACAGCGACCATGTCTAACTGAAACAAACCTTGGTGGTCCTGCACCCACGTTCATGGTCGTGCTATGTCTGAGCCCACTGTTGTGGCTACCACGTCCCTCCAGCCCATGGAGAGTGTTGTTCATTTCTACTGACCCTCCACTTTGCATACAGGCTGTTCTTTTCTAGTGACTGGTCCAAATCAACTTTCTAGTGTGTCCAAATCAAGATGAAGTCCTGCCATCCTTGCTCCTAAGGCACATGCTGGTTGTAACCTCCCCCAAGACAGCCATAAGCATGAGATAAAATACAGGCGATAGGGGCCTGAAGTCACTGGAAAGTGGCAAAGTTTCATGGCCCCTGTCTGGGGAGCTCTGGTGGTGTAATGCCTAAGGCACCTGACTGCTAACCAGAAGGCTGACAGTTCAAACCCACCAGCCACTCCTTGGAAGGAAGGTCGGGCAATCTACTCCCCTAGTGATACAGCCTCAGAAACCCAAGGAGGGGTCGCTATGAGTCAGATCCGACTCAACAGCAGTGAGTGAGTCCCTGCAAGAAAAAAAGCAAGAGGCGTGGCCCACCTGCCTTGACACAGTCTAACCCCCACCTCTAGAAGCGCAAGGCCATCATCACTACTGCCACTGACAGCGCCTCAATCCTCTCTGGAGGAAAAGAACACAATGCAAAACCTCTATGTTTTATTTATTTACAAAGTTTGAGATCTAATGACAATAAGAAATGCCTCCCCCTGAGACACCATGCTCAAGTGGCACAGCATAGTGCATAAAAATCTTGTTCTACAACCTACTTGGCTGAGTAGCAACTGGGGTCTTAAAAGCTTTCGAACGGCCATCTAAGATCCAACTATTTGTCTCCTCTCATCTGAAGAAAAGAATAGAGAAGAAAATCAAAGGCATCTGGAAACAATTAGTCCAAGGATCGATGGACCATGAGGAGCTCAGCCTTCACAATACTGAGACCAGTAGAACTAGATGGTGCCCGGCTACCAGTGCCAACCACTTGGAAAAGGATCAAAACTGGAGATGCTGGGTAGCTATTGTTGTTCTTATGTGCTATTGAGTCATCTCTGAATCACAGTGACCTTATGTACAACAGAACGAAACACTGCCAGGTCCTGTGCCAGCCTCATGATCCCTACCATACCTGAGCCCATCACTGCAGCCACTGTGTCAATCCATCTTGTTGAGGGCCTTCCCCTATTTTGTTGACCTTCCCCTTTACCAAGCATGACATCCTTCTCCAGAGAATGGTATCTTCTGACAACATGACCAAAGTAGGTGAGATGAAGTCTGGCCATTCTCACTTCCAAGGAGCATTTTGGCTGCACTTCCTCCAGGACAGATTTGTTAGTTCTTTTGGCAGTCCATGTGAAAGCTAGACAATGAATAATGAAGATTGAAGAAGAGTTGATACTTTTGAGTTGTGGTGTTGGCAAAGAACACTGAGGCATCGTACAAAAAAGAAATGGTCGGTGTTCAACTATTTCAGGAGGTAGCATATGGTCAAGAACCAATGGTATTGAAGGAAGAAGTTGAGGCTGCACTGAAGGAATTGACAAAGAACAAGACTCCAGGAATTGACAGGATACCCACTGAGGTGTTTCAACAAACAGATGCTGCACTGGAGGCACTCTCTTGGCTATGCCAAGAGATTTGGAAGACAGCTGCCTGGCCAGCTGACTGGAAGAGATCCATATGTGTACCCATTCCAAAGAAAGGTGACACAATGGAATGTGGAAAGTACTGAACAATATCATTAACATCCCACAAAAGTGAAATTTTACTGAGATAATTCAAAAATGGTTGCAGTAGTATACTCACAGAGAACTTCCAGAAACGCAAGCTGGATTCAGAAGAGGACATGGAACAAGGGATAGCAGAAGGATGTTTACTTGTGTTTTACTGACTGTGTGGACAATGAATAAGGAAGACCATAGAAGAGTTGATGCTTTTGAGTTGTGGTGCTGGCAAAGAACACTGAAAGGACCATGGACTGCCAGAAGAACGAACAAATCTGTGCTGGAAGATGCACCAGAATGCTACTTGAAAGGGAGAATAGACATTATATTATATTGATATGAGAATAACCATAATATTATATTAGTATTAATATATATTAATACTTATGTTAATATTAATATTAATATTATACACCTACTTTGGTCATGTTATCAGAGGGGTAATTCCCTGGAGAAGGATATCATGCTGGGTAAAGTGGAGAGTCAGTGAAAAAGAGGAAGACCCTCAACGAGATGGGCTGACACAGTGGCTGTAACGACGGGCTATAGCAAGAATTGTTAGACCGGTGCAAGACTGGGCAGTGTTTCCTTCTGTTGTACACAGGGTTGCTGGGAGTCAGAGCTGACTCACTGGCACCTAACAACAAGAGATAACTAAGACAGACATGGAACAGATTCTCCCTCAAAGGATCAGGAGGAATCAACATGGCCAACACTCAATCTGATCTCAGACTCTCAGCATCTGGAACTGAGATAGTAACTGTGTGCTCTTAGAAACCACCCAGTTAGTGGTCTTTTGTTTCGGCAGTCCTAGGGAGCACACACACAGCAGAATGGCTAAGTTTACGGAGTGCTCGCACACTGGGTACTTCCCATGAGAAGACAACTGCTCTACAAACAGCCATGGATCCACCCCACAGAGAGGAGGTCGAGCTAAAGAAGGCAGACCATGACAAGTACACTCCACTTAATTTCATATATGAGAAATGCAAGACAGAGAAGACAATCTGTGGAGGTCATACCAGGGCTGGAGACTCTGACTGGGGGGAGTCCCTGTATCACGAGGCAGGTCGTGGCCACCAGGTGTCCACAAATGTGCATTTAAGATTTGCACACAACAATTACATAAGTTTTCCTCCGTGAACCCACCCATCCACAGCCACCAAGTCAAGTCCAACTAGCACCCCTAGAGGGCAGAGCAGAACTGCCCCAGAGGGTCTCCGAGGCTGTAAATATTTACAGAAGCAGATTACGCCATCTTTCTCCTGAAGAGCAGCTTGTGGGTTCAAACCACCGACCTTCTGGTGAGCAGCTAAATGCCTTAACCACCCACTGGGCCACCAGAACTCTGCTTCAAAAAAAGAAAAATCAATAAATACAGTTCCTGTGGAGTCTTCAAGCTTTCCTTTCTGGTGATCTGAGGCCCTCTGGAAATTCCTTTCCCTTGGCATTGTCTTGCCTCCCATCCCACATGGCCCTGTGAGGAGGTCAGGAGGGCTGAGTACACTGACATGTCAACACACTCATGACACGCAATCTAAACACCATGCTACATGGACTGTCTGGTGGACACAGCCCAACATCATCACTCATGACATGCCATCTAAACACCACGCTACACGGACTGTCTGGTAGACACAGCCCGGTATCATTGCATGTGACACGCAATCTAAACACCGCACTACATGGACTGTCTGGTGGACACAGCCTGACATCATTGCTCACGACACGCAATCTAAACACCATGCCACCCAGACTGTCCAGTGGACATGGCCTGATCCCAGTGGTCCTTTTCCTCCAGCCGGCTGGGGAGGGCTGTGCCCTCGGTCCCTAGGTGCCACCTCCCTGGGGCAGGGCCTTGTCCTCTCTCTCTCATGTGTGCATAGCACTCAGCCCACAGTGTGCACTCATGCACAGGTCCCTCTGCGCAGCCACAGGCCAGGTGAGAGGCCCCTAACAGGGGACAGGTGGCCATGGAGATGCCACTGCAACATGCCCACAGTTCTGCTGCCACCAGCATCCCTCCTCCCCACCATCCGCCCAAGCCTGGCTTTACAGGCCCTAAGGGCCCACAGCTTTGAAGGGTCAGCAGGGGCATGGCCAAATCAAAGGGAGGACCATAAACTCCTAACTTGGCCAATGGACACGCTGGAATATGAAGATGCACAGATGGACACTGCCTCCACCAAGCCCAAGGAAGCCCTGCTCAAGAGTCGTGTGGAGGGAAGCAGGGGCTGTGTGTGCAGAACACACTGTATCAGGGGACACGCCTGTATCATGGACATGCCTGCATACCACAGACACCCCCACATGGACACCCCCACAACACACACACATCACACCCAACCCGACATCCCCACAATATAAACACATCACAGACACCCTCACATGGACATACCCCAACACACAGACACACACCAGACATCCCCACACAGACACCCCCACAACACACACACCCCCCCTTGGATACCCCCACACCACACACACATCACATACACAGCACAGACACCCTCACATGGGTACCCCCACATCAGACATCCCTACATTGACACCCCCACACAACATGCTGCAGACACATACCACAGACACCCCCACAGACACCCCTACACCACACCTCCATGCCACACACACCACACAGACACCCTCACATGGGTACCCCCACACCAGATACCCCTACATGGACACCCCCAAACAATACAGACACAACACCACAGACACCCTCACATGGATACCCCTATACCACACGTACATCAGACACCCCCACAACACCCCCATATCACACTCACACCACAGACACCCCCACAATACACACACATCACAGACCCCTCACATGGACACACACATACAACACACATACAACACACAGACACAAACCACAGGTACACCCACATGGACACCCCCATACAACACCCACACCACTGACGCCCCCACATGGACGTACTCACACCATGGACACATCTACACTATGGACAAAACCAAACAGACACACCCACACTATGGCATGCCACACCACAGACACACCCACATGGACACCCCCACACCACAGACACACTCATGCCACAATACACCCACTCAGACACACCCTCATTACAGATACACCCATAATGAACAGACTCAAACCACGGCCATGTCTAATCCAAGACCATACCACAGACACGCGCAGATCTTGAACACACCGCGCAGGCCTTACGTGTCTCTTGAAGGACTTGCGAACACACCCCTGGGTGGTTTTCTGGACCACAGCGTAGCGGCGGATGCAGTACACGTTCTCCTGGGGCTTAATCACGCTGGCAATCACCTCCGCCAGCTTGTTGTGAGGAATGGCGTCATAGGCCCCCGCCACGTCCACCTGCGAGAGAAGGGGGCACTGACGAGCACTCCCTCCCAGCACTCGCCGTGCCCCAGTGCTCACGTCCCTGCCCGGGGGCCTGTGGTCCTGGAACTGGCCCTGCAGCCTGCTTCCAGAAAACTCTGCAGACAAGGTGCAGGGCTGTGGGCTCTCGGAGCTCCCTGCCAACAGCCCCCACAGGAGTCACACATCACCCAGCCTGAGGGACACTCCCTGAGGACCCGAGGGCAGCAGCCAGTCTGCGTCCCTTTCCCTGAGCAGAGCCTTGATGAATAGAGACTCCTGCTGCTGACCAGAGCTGGGGCTGCCAGGTGCAGGCCCCCTGCCCTGAGCCCTGAGCAGGCAGCCACTGCAGGTCCCTCCCTGCCAACGCACGGCCTAGTGCTGAGCAATGCGCTCTGGCAGCAGGCAGGTGTGCCTGAGGTCACCAGCTCCCTGAGTGGCCATGGAATAAGCTGTTGTCAACATTTGGTGTCTCTGAGTCTGTGCTGACTTGTAGCGACCCTACATACAACAGAACAAAACACTACTCGGTCTTGCACCACCGTCACAATCCTGGTTGTTCCTAAGCCCATTGTTGTAGTCACTGTGTCAGTCCATCTCGTTGAGGGCCCTTCCCATTTTTGCTGACCCTCCACTTTACCACACATGGTGTCCTTCTCTAGAGAATAGTCCCTTCTGACAACATGACCAAAGTAGGTGACATGAAGTCTGGCCATTCTCACTCCCAAGGAGCATTCCGGCTGTACTTCTTCCAGGACAGATTTGTTCATTCTTCTGACAGTTCACGTTATCTTCAGTATCCAAAACCACAATCCACACGCATGCTGAGACGAGATCAATGCTCCTGTCACTGAGCCCTGTGCCCAGTGACCATGCTACCCGGAGAATCGCAGGGATGGTAAGTGCCCACGTGCAGACTCTGTTGTGTTAACTGCCACTAAGCTGCCCACGCACAGTGAACGAAACACTGCCCAGTCCCACCCCACCCCCTTCATCCGTTGTGGATCAAACCATCAGGATCCAAGAAGTGATTTTCAGAAGGCATCACCACGTCTTTTCTCCTAGTTTGTCTTGGCCTAGAAGTTCTGCTGAGAACTGGTCTGTGTCCTAGCAGCACAGGTGGGGGCTATGCATGAGGCGCACTGACCAGGCTTCGAACCCGGGTCTCCCGCACAAAAGGCAAGAACTCCACCAGTGAGTCGCCGTGGCTCTCATGCAGCTGGGAGACCCTGGTGCAAATGGGCAGAGTGCTTCGCTGCTGACTGAGAGGCTGGAGGTTGGAACCCGCCTAGAGGTGCCTCTTTAGAAAGGCCTGGCGGTGCAAACTCTACAGCTCCACCAGTAAGAGCTGCACCATCATTACGTGGAACACGTGGGCATCTGAAAAAGCCCCTCCTCTCTCCCAAGGTTCCCTCCAGGCCCATGACGTGGCTTCACTGGGCAGCGACTCGGCAGAGGCGCCTGAAGGGCCAGGCTCCATGGCGCCCCAGAGCAACACTGCATACCGCCAGGAAGCAGGCCTCAGGCCAACCCACCTTGACAAAGTACAACGGGGGCCTGGGGTCCCCGGCCCGCACGCGCTGCACAAAAGCCCGCCAGGCCCTGTACACGTCGTCAATGCCGAGCATGGAGGCCCCCAGCAGCCCGGGCCGCAGGGCTCGCTCGTAGTTGAGCACACTGAACAGGTTTTTCATCTGCGAGGTGAAATGCTGAGCCTGAAGCCGCTGGAACAAAACACAAGAGCTGTATGACCAGAACAGTGTCCTCCAGCCCAGGGAAGAGTTCTCAAGCCCGGGGAAGGGAACCTCAGGTCAGACATCCCCGATCAAAGACATGCTGGGGCTACCTGGGGACCCAGACTCATAGGCTCTTCCTCCTTCCTCCCCACGTTCACCCAGCTTCTCAGCGCTCCTGGAGACCGCAGGACCAGTCGAGCCCAACCACGCTACCATCAACCCAACCACGCTACCCCTTGGCCCCTGGGTGCCGTGGGCCCCATTTCATGATGCAGGAAATGTGTTGAGAAAACTACAGTCAGGTGCCCTTCTCCACCCCAACCCCTCCCCCACCATCGCAGACGGGGAGCACATGCTGGCGCCCTCAGGGGCCATGCCCTGCTTTTAGGTTCGAATCCACAGCTGAGACTCCAGCTTACCCCTCACCAGGCCCAGCATTAACCTCTTGGCTCCACTGTGGGCACATTACCAATGACACCTCCTCCCTCCGACATCAAGATGGGCTGCAGCTGCCTGAGAGGCAGCACCACTGAGGACGCAGGCCCTCAGGCAGCTGACGGCCACCTGCACCACAGCGGCCACTGGCCTCTCCGTGGCCATTCACAGCAGTTTGCAGGGCACACTGTGCTTCAACGGGGTCCCAGGGCACCGGGGTCCCAGGGCACAGGGTGTGAGGTGTGTCAACAGAGTTAGAGGCTGGGGTCACAGGACACACTACGCATAAACAGTCATGGTGCCGGGTCATAGGGCACTCTGTGCTTTAATGGGACACGGGGCGCCAGGGTCACAGGACACAGGGTGTGCAGTGCTTCAACGCAGTTAGAGCTCTGGGGTCACAGGATATGCTATGTGTAAGCAGGGTCATGGTGCTGGGGTCACAAAGCATACTGTGCTTCAACAGGGTCACAGGGCAGTGGGGTCACGGGGTGTGCTCAGGGTCACAGGAGGCCAGGGACACAGGGCACAGGGTCACAGGGCAGGACCAGCTTCTCACTATGGTCCTCAGGGCATTATGGCATCATCTGGGACCTCACGTCCTACTGCAGCCTTGCAGGGCCCACCATGCTGCCCACCCCTCCACAGACTCACATGGCACTGTGGGTGACAGTGGGCTGCTCCCCACCATGTCCGCGAGCCCATCCCGCGGGCCCTCATCCAGCCCAGCTCAGCCACGGGGCCAAACCAACTTTGTTTAAAACAAAACAAAGCTCAGCACAGTCACCTTCTTTTCTCTGCGGAAGGTTCTGGCTCCCACGATGTAGTCCATGTTCACGATCGGGCGGAGGCCCTGGAGTTTGGGGATGAAGCGGAGCTTGGAGGTCGGAAGAGATGGCTTGGTCTCCTGGCGACGTCGGACCTCTGCTTCAGATAATTCTCGCAGGCGTACTCTCTCGAAGTGTTGTCTAAAACACAGAGCCTCTCAGGTCGTGGATCAAGGGCCAAGCAACATACGCAGCAGACAGACACACAGGAACAAAAGCAAGATGCATGACCTCTGCAAACAGCAGTCACCCAACACCCAGGGCTGCCTGGCATCACACTGACACACCCACCACAGCCCCAGGGAGAGATCTCACCCCAGGGTACCCAGGACAACTGCAGACGCCTCCAGGAGAGACCCCACCCCTGGGTACCCAGGACAACCACAGATGCCTCCAGGAGAGACCCCACCCCAGGGTGCCTAGGACAATCGTAGACACCTGGGGGATGCTCCACCACAGGGTGCCCAGGACAACCACAGATGCCTAGGGGAGAGACCCCCAGCCCAGGGTGCCCAGGACAACTGCAGACACCTCAAGATGATTCCTTCCCCTCATCTTCAAATAGGTGGCGTTTTATCACCCATGACATCAATAAACACAGAAACAACAAGCCCACTCACTGCCTTCCAGTCCATTTGGACTCACACTGACACCGTCTGTTAACGGTGGAACTGTTCTGTAGGGTCTTCCTGGCCGTAATCTTAGAGAAGCGGACCACCAGGCCTTTTGGCCAGTGTCACTGGGTAGGCTCAAGCTGCCAACCCTAGGCAGCAGGCAGGCGCACTCCACTGTACCAGCCAGGGACCTTATCTCATGACACGAGACCTATTTATTCTGCATGAATTAAAGGAAAGTTAGACCCACACCTACAATGCACAAGCCAACAGAGCCGGAAACGGTGAGTGATCTGCTGGGCCTGCCATTCTGCTGCAGTGGAAGCGACTCTGATGTTAGGTGGACCCCGCAGACACATCTAACGTTCATCTCTGATTGCACAGGTAAGAAAACAGAAGCTCCCAGCGATCACGGCCTGGGCAGGACCCCACAGCCAGGATTCCACTTGGGTCTTCTGGCTTCCAGCAGAACACGGCCACAGGCCCCATGAAGCAGCTGGGGTGCACAGCTGGGGCCTGCACTGCGGGGAAGAATCAGCACTTGGGCCTCACAGACATTAAGAACACACAGCCAAGTCAGCATACCTCTGCCAGCTTGCGCTGTGCTTGGATTATAAATACCTGATCCCAATGCTTTGCAGTTCGTTCCAGATGCTTTTCCGGAAAAAGAAAAGCCTGTTCTTCTGAAACATGGTCTCCGTGACGTAAAAAAAGGCCCTGAGCAGCCCAACCACGTACAAGTCCATCAACCAGAACAGGAACTTGGTCAGGATCTCTTCTCTCAAACGGTGCTCCGAGGCCGGGACAGTATAATTCCCTGAAAGGAGAAAGTACTGAAAACCCAATGCCAGCCCAGGGCCCGGCGACCCCAGGCCTGAGACCTGCGCTGTCCAGTCCTACAGCCACTCAGCACGGGCTGGGTCCCACCACAACGTGCCGTGCATGTAACCTACACACCATCTCAGACACTCAGCACTCAAGCATCACGTGAGTGACACTTCCACTAACTACACATGAAAATGATGGTGGTTTATTGGGTTTTACGAAAATAAAATAAAACCTGTGAAAGCCAGAACCCACGTAAGGCAGACACTTGTCAGAGAAGGAAAGCTCAGATATCGTCCACTCGTCGAAGACTGATAGAAAAGTGGTAAGACAGCACCACAAAGGCAGAAAACTTGTGAGACCCAGAAAAACAAGGCAGTCCCCTTGAATTCCGGCTCTCACAAGTTTGCTATGTTATCAGATTAAGGTCACCTTTTCTTTCTACTTTGTTAACATGGTGACTAGAAAATTCCCAGGCTTATTGTAGCAACTACTACTGGACAGTGGCAATGTGGAGCGATGTCCTTGGTCCTGCTTCATCAGCAAAACAGTGAAGGCAGAAAGCAATCTTATCAATTAATTGTGTCCCCAAAAAGAGTATGCTGAAGCCCCAGCCCAAGCTGGGAATGGGCTCTGTTCGGAGATGCTATCAGTTGTTAAGTCATACTGGAGTGGCGGGGTCTTAGAGACATAATGACAGACAAGAGGACAGAGCCACACACGGGAGGACAGCATGTGAGCCTCCATCTCTAAGCCAAACATCACCAGGACATGCCAGGGGCTTCTGAAGCTGAGAGGCAAAGAAAGATCTTCCCACGGAGTGGCCCTGATGAGCCCTGAATTCAGACCTGCAGCCTTCAGTATGAGGCAAGAAATCCTGGTCCTTTAAAGCCCCCATGGCATTTTGTTACGGCAGCCATGGGGAACTAAGGCACACGTGTTCACAAGATGGTTGACACACAGTTGAGGGCTGACGCTACACAACTGCTTTGTACAGTGGCAAACTCAGACATTACCACTGATCCAGAAAACCTGGGGCTTCAGGGACAGAGCAGCCAAACAGAGCGGCGGCTGGGGGGCGACGGTGGTCATACCTTAGCTAACGGACCCCAGACTGTGTGGGGCCCCCACGGGGGTGCATAGACCAAAGTGACCACTGCCTTCTGTAACTCTATGCACTTGAACACGTTCTGAGATGCCCACAGGATTCACCCAATGGCCATGAGGCCACTGCAAAGATAAAAGCTGGGCTCCAACAACAACGCCACTCAGATGGTCTAGGAGACTTGGGCTACCCAATGAAGAGCTCTACAGGTGCCAAGGTGACAAGAGGTAGGACATGTGGTAAAGGTTGTGTGCCAACTTGGCAGGGCCATGGTTGTGAGTGGCTGGGCGGGTGGATGTAGTTATTGCAAGAAGCTAACATCATAATCACCTCCAGGGTGGAATCTGCTATAAGCAGCTAAGTAGCTGCCTTCAGGGTGTGGCCTGCTTCCAGTGTACAAGCAGCAGCTTTGAGAAAGATCTGGCTTTTGGCCTATCTGGATTCTGCATTTGGCCAAGTCTTCATCCCAGTCACCTGCCGTGTTGCCTGCTGATCCTGGGTTGTTCCTGGACTTGAACCCTCAGTCTCCCATGCTGCCTGTTGATCTTGGGATTGTGCCACTTTACTGGCCGACCTCAAGTTCATCACCTCAGCAGCCAGCAACTGCTGCATGAGTTAGGAGATGCCTCCAGCTTCATGGGCCTGCAGTAAGAGGCAGTGCTGAAACGCAAGGTCAAGGACCCTTCACCCAGTCCCTAGAGCCAGCACTCTGAATTTGGGACTTACAGCTTCCTAAACTGTAAGAGAATAAATTCCTGTTTGTTCAGCCATCCATTTGTGGTATTTCTATTAGAGCAGCACAAGAGAACCATGGCTTCAATCAAGATTCATCTGACATCAACATGATATCCCTTCTTCCACATGCTCTTCTGAATCCAGCATGAATTTCTGGCAGTTCCCTATGTACGGTTAAATATGTTTTTGAATTATTTTAAATAAAACTTTACTTGCAGGGGATATGACATTTTGATAATTTTTGTATTCTTTTGGAATACACCACCCAGTTAATTGCTACATTACACAAACTCCAAAACCAAACTCACTACCATCAAGTCAATTCTGACTCATAGTGACCCTCTTTGGGTTTCCAAGACTGTAAATCTTTACAGAAGTAGGTTAGCTGATCTTTCTTCCACAGAGCAGCTGGTGGATTTCAACTGCTGAACTTCTGGTTAGCAGCCAAATGCCTTATCAACTATGCCACCAGAGCTGCATTAAACAGGGGGACCTTATTTTGAAATGTGGGAAATAACAGCATCCAGATAAGTTGGCCAGGCGGCTGTCTTCCAAATTTCTCGGCATAAATGAGTACTTACAGTGCTGCATCTGTTGTTGAAACATCTCAGTGGGTATTCTGTCAGTTCTTGGAGGCTTGTTTCCAATGCCTTCAGTGCAGCTTGAACTTGTTCCTCAATACCATCAGTTTATTTGTTTCATTTTTACTGTGATTTGGGTGAAGGCTTACAGAGCAAATCCATTTCCCATACAGGAGTTCATACAAATTTTATTTCATGACACTCACTGCAATGTAACAGCTCTCTTTGTACTTCTTCCCTGTAGTTACCTCTCTCCTGTGTCCTTCTTTCCTATACACTCCTGCCCCCTGGGCCATCTCTCTGTACAAATACAACCCTTTCATTCTCCCATGACTGATCGTTGTAAGGCGCATGCTTACTTGATGTAAATGTTCACCCTATATGCCTATTGTTTGGCTGGAAGCCACAGGAATGGGTTCAATTCCAGACTTGAAGGGTAACTAGGGGCCATAGTCTCGGGGATACCAGGCTCTATCAGACTAGTAAACCTGGTCTTTTTTATGATTTTGAGTTTTGTTCCACACTGTTCTCCCACTCTATCCAGGATCTCCTGCACTGATCCCTTTCTGAGTGGTTGACAGTGGTAGCCAGGCAGTGTCTAGTTCTTCTGGTCTCATGGTCATACAGGCTGAGGTGTGCATGGTCTACTAGTCCCCGGGACTGTTTCCAAGCATCTTTGGTTTTCTTCATTCTTCTTTGTTCTGGATAAGGAGAGACAATCTGTTGCATCTAGATGGCCACTTGCAAGTTTTTAAGACCCTAGTTACTACTCATCAAAGTAGGACATAGAACAATGTTTTTGTGTAGTATGTTATGCCAATAGTTATTCCAAGCTCAAAGGTCCAAAACTGTGTAGTATGTTATGCCAATAGTTATTCCAAGCCCAAAGGTCCATCAGGGTGGTCAACTGTGGCTAAGAAATGATCATAACTTTGCCCCCTCTTAGTTCCATTTATATGGACATTCTTATAGCACATATAAATATATACAGAAATATCGTCTGCCAATCTTACATAGTACTATAAGTTCTTGATCATATACTACTTCCTGAAATGGCTGAATGTTGATCAATTCCTTTTGGTACAGTGGTTGTACTCCTTCCGTCTTCTTTTGATATTTCCTGCATCATTCAATATTTTGCCCATAGAATCTTTCAATATAGCAACTTGGCGCTTGAAGCTTTTCTTCAATTCTTTCAACTTGAGAAATGCTGAGTGTGTTCTTCCCTTTTGGTCTTCTAACTCCAGGCCTTTGCATATTTCATTATAATACTTTATATATTATACATATCAAACTGTTCTTTGAAATATTCTGTCCAGCTCTTTTATTTCATCATTTCTTGCATTTGCTTTAACAACTGTCCATTCAAGAACAAGTTTCAAAGTATCTTCCGACGTCCACTTTTGGTCTTTTCTTCTTTCTTGTCTTTTTAATGACCTCTTGTTTTCTTCATTTATGATGTCCCTGATGTCATCCCACAACTTGTCTGATCTTTAGTCATTGGTGTTCCATGCATGAAATCTATGTTTCAAATGGTCTCTAAATTCAGGTGGGACATGTTCAAAGTCATATTTTGACTCTTGTGGAATTGTTTTAATTTTCTTCACTTAAACTTGCATATTAATGATTTGTTGCATAGTCAACCTCCGACCTTGTTCTGACTGATGATATTGAGCTTCTCCATGATCTCTCCACAAATGTAGTCAATTTGATTCCTGTGTATTCTGTCTGGTGTAGTCTACATATACTGTCACCACTTATATCACTGAAAAAAAGGTAATCACAATGAATAAATCATTGGTCTCACAAAATTCTATCATGTGATGTCTGGAATCATTTCTATCACCAAGGTGGTATTTTTCAGCTACTGATGCTGCTTTGTTTCCAACTTTCACATTCCAATCACCACTAATTACCAATACATCTCCATTCCATGTTTGGTAAATTTCAGATTGCAGAAGTAAAAATCTTCAATTTCTTCATCTTTGGCTTTAGTTGTCATTGTTATTGTTGTTGTTAGGTGCCGTCGAGTCATCTCCGACTCATAGTGACCCTATGCACAGCAGAATGAACACTGCCCGGTCCTATGCCAGCCTCACAATACTTGCTATCCTGAGCCCATCATTGCAGCCACTGTGTCAATCCATCTCATTGAGGGCCTTCTGCTTGTTTGCTGACCCTCCACTTTACCAAGCATGACATCTTTCTCCAGGGAATGGTTCCTTCTTACAACGTGACCAAAGTAGGTGAGACAAAGTCTGGCCATGCTCACTTCCAAGGGGTATTCCTGCTGCACTTCCTCCAGGACAGATTTGTTAGTCCTTTTAGCAGACCATGGTACTCTTAGCATTCTTCTCTAACACAACTCAAAACCATCAACTCTTCTTCAGTCTTCCTTATTCACTGTCTAGCTCTCACATGCAAAGCAGGCAACTGAAAATAGCACGGCTCAGGTTAGGCGCACCTGTCTTCAAGAGATATCTTTGCTCTTCATCACCTGAAAGAGGTCCTTTGTAGCAGATTTGCCCAATGCAATTTGTTGTCTGATGTCTTGACTGTTGCTTCCATTTG